TTCTTCTAATATGGTGAATTACATTGACTTTTGAATGTTAAACTGGTGTTGCATTTCTGGGATATGTGTTATTTGTCATAGTATCTTATTTTTATATATTGTGTTTTCTTTGATTTTCTAATTTATTAAAGATTTTGTATCTATATGTGGGATATTAATCTGCAATTTTCTTTTGTAATGTCTTTCTTTGTTAGGTTTTGGTTATTAGGGTTATGCTGGTTTCATAAAATGTGTTGGGTAGTGATTGGTGATTTCCACTCCTCTGTTTACTGAAAAAGCTTGTGAGATGGTATTACTTTCTCCGTAAAGTAAAAGTTAATATTATTACAATTAACAAGTAAAACTATCTGGTTCTAAAGGTTTTTTTTGGGGGGGGGAAGTTTTTGTTAAATTAAACTTCTTTACTAGTTCTACAGGGTTATTCAGATTTTCTATCCCTTCTGTCAATTTTGGTAAGTTATATTTTTTTAAGAAATTTACTTTTGTCTTAAGTTGTTGAATTTCTTGTGAAGTTGTTCATATTATTCTATTAATGTCCTTTAAATGTCTCTGTGATCTGTGATGATTAACCTCTTTTTCATTCCAGATAGTGGACGTTTGTGATCTCTTTTCTTATCAGTCAGCTAAAAGTTTGTTATTTTTTTGATCTTTTCAAAAGACCAATTGTAGTCTGGTTTGCTTTCACCTACTTTGGGTTTACTTTATGCTTCTTTTTCTGTTTTCTTGTGATGAGTTCTTAGGTTATTAGTATAGTTCTTTCTAGTGTGAACATTTAAAGACTTAGGTTTCCTTTTCAGCACTGCTTTAGTGGCATTCCACAAATTTTGATAAATGTATTTTATTTCCATTCAGTTTATGTTATTTTAAAATTTACTTTTTGATTTTTCTTTATGTCTCATGAATTATTTAGAAGTCTGTTGTTTCTAGATATTTGGAATTTTTCTAGATACTTAAGTTAATAATTGCCCTGTAGTCAGAAAATGCACTTTGTATGATTTTGATACTTTGACATTGATTGAGATCTGTGGTTTCGCTCAGCATACGTCTATCTTAGTACTGTTTGTTTTGAGTCTTTTGGTCTGTCAGTTGTGAGAGAGAGTGATATTAATCTGTTGTAGAATTGTCTGTTTCTCTCCTTAATTTGGCCCATTCTTGATCTGTTTTGAGGCTCTATTAGTAGACTTATTTAGGTCATTAAATATGAAATGTCTGATTTTGAATCAAAAGTTTACTTTATTATATCTCAAACAAAAAGCAATACAATTAATCAAAGTGTGTGACTAAACTATTGACACAGTTTTGCCATCTTAATAGTAGCTTGCTTATGCTAGCGGCGAAGAAGCCTGGAGAGCAAGTGGCCATGAAATCATGAAAGGCATTTTCCACGGCTTGTTGAGAAGTGAATATTTTTCCTTGCTAGAAGTGATCCAAAGCCTGGAAGAAGTGGGAGTCAGTCGGTACAAGGTCTGGTGAATACAGTGGATGACAGAGTTTCCAAGTCCAGCTGCTGTAGTTTGAGCAGTGTTGTTTGTGGAACATGTAGTCGATCATTGTCTTGCAAGAGAATTGGCCTGTCTCATTGACCAATCTCGGCTGCTTGATGGCAAGCATCTTCATCCTTTTGTCCAATGGGTTGCAGTAGACATCCGCTGTAATGGATTGACCAGGTTTCATGAAGCTGTAGTGGATAATACCAGCGCTGGACCACCAGACACCGTGAGCTTTTTTTTGATGAATATTCAGTTTTGGACTGTGTTTCGGCACTTCATCTTTATCCAGCCATCGTGCTGAACGCTTGTGATTGTCAAAAAGAATCCATTTTTCATCACACATAACGAAACAGTACAGAAATAGTTCACCTTTATGTCATGACAGCAAAGAAAGGCAAGCTTCGAGACGATTTCTCTTCTGATGCTTGTTTAATTCATGTGGTACCCATCTGTCCAGCTTCTTAACCTTGCCAGTTTGTTTCAAGTGGCCCAATATTGTTGGCATATAACGTGAGACCTTGCTGGTAATTCATTCATAGGTTGAGATGGATTCGCTTCACTCCAGCTTTCAGCTCGTAATTATCCACCTTGATATCAGGTCACCCACATGGCTCATTTTCAAGATTAAAATCACCAAAACAGAATTTCTCAAACCATTGACGTACTGTGCGTTCATTAGCCACATCCTTCCCAGACACTTTGTTGATATTTCAAGCTGTGTGCGCTGCATTGGTTCCACGATGGAGCTCATATTCAAAAATAACACGAATTTTTTGACTTATCCATGCTTTCACAAAAATTGCTCTAAAAGTTTTTTTGAAAGATAGTTACAAGCCAAACTGTGCGTTTGAAAGAATGAGGATGTACCTATACAACAACAATAAAAAAGAAGTGTCCAAGTCAAATGTCAGAGCTGACAACTGGCAAGCTTAAATTAAGCATATCAGACATTCCATACTTAATAACCTAATATATACATTTTTACAATTGTTATATCTTCATGATGAGTTGTCCCTTTTATCATTATGAAATGAACCTCTTTATCTTTGTTCTACTCTTTGTCTTTAAGTCTATTTTTTTTTTTTAATACTTAAAAATATGGAACGCTTCACGAATTTGCGTGTCATCCTTGCGCAGGGGCCATGCTAATCTTCTCTGTATCGTTCCAGTTTTAGTATATGTGCTGCCGAAGCGAGCACTTTAAGTCTATTTTATCAGTTGTTAAAAACACCATTTCTGTCTTCCATGCTTTCTGTTTGTATGGCGTATCCTTTTCCGTCCATTGACTTTCAACCATTCTTGGGCTTTATATTTAAAGTGTGTTTCTTATAGACAGCTTATGGTAGTGTCTTATGTTTTTATCCACTCTGTCAATTCTTGCTTTTTAATTGAAGTATTGAGACTAACATTTAATATTTTTGATATGGTCAGATTTAGGTGTTCCATTATTTTCTGTTTGTCATCTCTATTTTTTATTCCTCAGTTCTCTCTTTACTACTTCCAGTTGAATTATTTGAATTCTGTTTTGCATTCCATTTAATTTGTCTATTGGCTTTTTGGTGATAGCTCTTTGTGTTATTTTTTTAGTTGTTGCTCCTGGGATTATAATATACATACCTATCTGTCGCAGTCTATTTAGAATTTGTAGTGTACCACTTCACATAAAATGTGGAAACTTTTGCTACCATGTAAGTCCTTTTTTAACCCCACACCCCATATAGTTGTCATGTGTCTTACTACTACCTACATGAAAACCCCATCAGGCAGTGTTATAATTTTTTATACATATTTTTAAAAAAAGAGGGAAAAAGTCTTTTTTATTTACCATTTCTGTTCATTTTTTCTTCATTCCTAACAATCCAGTTTTCTCTTTAGTATCATTTCCCTTCAGCATGAAGAATGGACCTGTGGGAAATGAAATCTCTTGGTTTTTCTTCACCTGAGAATATTTTGGTTTTTGCCCTTGTTTCTGAAGGATATTCTGGCAGTTCTTTTTTTTTTCCAGAACATTAAAGATGTTGTTCCACTGTATTTTGGCTTCCGTGGTTTCTGCTAAGAAATCCGTGGTCTTTGGAATCATTTCTTTGTATGTATGGTACCTTTTTTTTTTCTTTTTACTATCTGCTATCAGTTTTTGTTTTTTTTTTAATGTTTACCTGTTTATCTTATGTATAGTTCTGAGTGTCTTGAAGTTTTTCTTATTTGGGGTTTGCTGAGCTTCTTTAATGTATATATTTATGTCTTTTAACAAATTGGGAGATATTTTTGGCCATATGTCTTTAAATTTTTTATGTCCCATTCTTTCTTCTCCTTTTGGAACCCCATGACATGCATATTAGACATTTTGTGATAGTCCCATAGGTTCATTCTATTATTCTACCCATGTCGGTTCTTCAGGTGGGATAATTACTGATCCATCTTCTGGTTCAGTGATTGCTTCTTCTGTCATCTCTGTTCTGTTCTTGAGCCAATCTAGTGAAATTTCAGTTATTTTCAATTTCTAAAATTTCCGTTTGGTTCTTTTTTATAGTTTCTATTTCTCTACTTAGAACTCCTATCTTTTCATTTATATCCGGTGAAATGTTTTTCTTTATCTCATAAAGTCTAGTTATTACTGTTACTCTAAGGTCTTTGTGTGACTGTTTCAACATAGGAGGCTTTGTCTGATAATTTCAACATCTAGGTGACCTTGGCTTTGACAAGTAGTGATTAATTTTTGGTTATCTGGCTACGAAGCCCTGGTTTCTGTTGGAGTTTTAGCTGCCTGTGCTGTTGCCACCCTGCCACTCTGCAGGAATCACCCTCAGGGCAGAGTTATGGGGAGGGGAGAAGTGGGAAATTTACTCCCTTGCAGTTACTTCTCTAAATTTTTACTGTCTTCCGTACTTTTTTCTGTTTATTTTTTTAAGACTGTACAGAGTCTGCACATACTCTTTTTTTGGTCCAAGTTTTCTACTTGAAATTAATAGGACTAGTGGGCTGTCATGAGTTACGGTGCCCCAGCACAATTGGTGCTTCCCTGTTTATTGTAGATGTAATTAGATGTTAAAGTCTTCATGGAAGGTTGCATTTGAGTATGTAATTTTGGTTTGTTAAAAAATATTAAGAACTACTATGTAATAGGGTGCTATGGTCTGTCCTTTAGCTTTAGAACTGCTTAACAGCATTATTATTCCTTGCCATTAAACTGATCCTTTGTGATAGTTCAAAATTTACTACTCTCAAATGGAGTGTACCAAACCAAGTTTCTAAGCCCTCTAAACTCTGATCACAAATTGCTTTACCTTTTCCTAATTTTCTCAATTATTATGTTGAGCTGCTGTTTTTACCTTAGTCAACTGTTTTCTGTTCTGAAAGACATGTTTAGTTTTTTATAAATAAGTATTGGTAATAAGAACATATCCTTCCTCACTACCTTCCTCTTTCCCCTTTGACAGATTGACAGTAGAAGATCTAGCTACAAAATGTGTTCTATAACATAAGAAAATGATATTTTGAATCAATTCTTAGGTGTGTTGTTTGGACTGGGGATGAGCGAGTCTTCTTTTATAATCCCACCACTCGTCTTTCTATGTGGGACCGACCTGATGATCTGATCGGAAGGGCAGATGTTGACAAAATTATTCAGGAGCCCCCTCATAAAAAAGGAATGGAAGACATGAAGAAACTAAGTAAGTTTTAAATTAGGAATGTATCCACCAGTTGAAACATTCTTTTAATATCTTGACAGAAAATGTGAAGGCCATTAAGAAACTTTATTTTTCAAGGAATGTAAGAAATTTTAGAGAAAAAACTGCTATACTAGTTTGAGTGCAGTAATAGAGATTTAAAATTAAGAACTTGGATAAGATTATGCTTTGTAAAATATGTACGTTTTTAACTTCTTTTCCTTCTGAATACTGAGTTCAAAATATGTTGGTACTATTGCTGCTTACTTACTAATACCGCCAAAGTGCTTCTTAGTGAGCCTTTCAGCACCTTTTGTGACTAGTAATATATATTTTGAAATAAAACTGTCCATAGGTTTTTAAAAATACTTTGTTTACAAAATTTTCTAAAAATACAAAAGCTTTATTCCTGAGAATTAGAGACACCTAAATCTTACTAAGAGATTATCTTGTAATCTGCCTCATATTTAGATGGAATTCCAATGCATTGAGTATGTATATATTTGTACATGATTTTTGTTGTATATTTCTTGTTGGTAATTTGCCCTTGTATTGATGTGATTGTGTTTTTATTGAACCCTGGGCCCCATGTAGTACAGAAGCAAGATACATGAATCATTTAATACTTCTAATGAAATAAATGCCGGTATATATCATTTATAGTGATTGAGAAGTTTTCATGCATTTTATATGTGTGATACTGACATTTTCAGCCTACAAGTAGTTTCCGAATCAGTATGACTTTGCCTATCTGGTGCTGAAGGTATTAGGCACCTCTTCAGTGATATTTGTCTTTTATAGGTATGGTATTAATGATACTTTATAATCATAGTATTGAGTGATAACTGTTTTTAAACATTTGATTCATTCATTTGATAAGTACATTAATATGCATCATAAAAAGATAATGTAAATCCTGAATCAAGAAAATTTTATTTTTTTGTTTTTGTAAATTTAAGGTTTGGGCAAAAAACCATTCAAATGAATTGAAAATTTAATGTAAAGGGAGGATAAATAGAGGCAGTATAGAATTATTATGGTTTGCTTAGTGTTTTATAAAGGAATGAATATTGAGAGGTGGGTATTTTATACAAACAGTAATTTAAAAAAAAGTCTGTGAAATATATGCATATAATTATTCATAACAGTATTTGAAATGTTTTTGCCAGGGCACCCGACCCCAACAATGCTGTCCATCCAAAAGTGGCAGTTCTCTATGAGTGCAAGTGAGTGAACTAACTATAGATTGTAGCTTCTTTTTAATACTATTAAAGCAAGTGTTCTGGTAGAGATTAGCTGAAGAATTCATGCCTAAATATTTTAATTAAATTTTGTTCAGTTAAAGAAGAGCAAGACCTAATGGAAGAAATTAATGAAGATGAGCCTGTTAAAGCAAAAAAACGGAAGTAAGTAAGACATATAGTTTGTGTGATTCAGGCAGATTTTATCTTTTTAAAAATTGATTAGTTCATAATCAGTTTGTGATTGGAAGGGACAGGTAATGTTAATGTTAGGAGGCAGAAGTCTTGATTACATTCTTAGGCCTAATATTAAATAGCTTTGTTTTACAGTGTAGAAAATGTGTCCCTTCTGTTGCTAGATTTTTAAAAGATTTGGTTATTCAAATATGTTTTATGAAGCCACTGACATTTTTGAAATTGATTAATTCTTCAGAAATTCATTAGGTCTGAATTTTATAAATAAGTTTTTCCTGGATAAAGATCTCAACAGATAATTCCACAGCCCTCATAATAACAGACACAGACTTCTCTCTCTTTATATACTTATCTTGATCTTGTGTCTTACCTAGTCCTGGAGTCTGTTGTCATTACTACTTGCTAAGGAGTGAACCAGTAGGCTTAGAAAATACTCTGAGAGAAAGAAAATGTTAGAAGTTAAAGCATTAGCTTGGTCAGTGCTCTAGAGTTGTATAAAATGTAAATGTTACTTATGGGGGGTGAAGGGTGGGGTAGAGGGTGTGTGTGGGCGGGGTAGAATGGGACCATTATTTAGCAGCAAAAAGTAAAGTTTAAAGACATAGGAGACTGGTTAATCATAGTCCTTATCTGAAAAGGACAGATTGAATGCAGCCAAATCATGGCAAGGAAATCAATAAGACAACCCCTGTCAAGGGTGATTCTTTTTAAAAAAATTGTTTATTGGCAACAATGTTAAAGAAACTAAGATATTAAAGAGAATCAGTCATAATCTGTTTCCATAGCACAGCTATTTTCATTTCTGCAATTGACTTTTTAGTTCTCGACCAAATGTCTAAGTATTTTTATTAGTTGTGAATAACTGATTTTGTGTTCTTTTAAAAAAATCTAGAATAAGACATGTTTTCTTAATTATTATAAATGACTGTATTCATTCTGTTTATGTACCATAATTTTGGATGTTTCTGCAATGTTAAACTTTTAGGTTGTTTTTAATTGTTTGTTCTTATAGACAACTCTGTAAGGTTTTTAACTGCTTTTATCAGGAGAATGTCAAAGAAGTCCTTTATGTGGATTGCCCGAGCTTCTCTATTTAGGTACATAGCTAAAAGCCTGTTTTTCCTGGCTTAGTTTTTCTTTTATTTCTTTTATTGAGATAGATAGTGATAGCTTGTATTGTGACCTTTTTATTTAGTATAATTCTATAAAGGTTATTTGTTTTCATTAGTTATTGTATTTCTTGGATGTCTTTTAAATCTTTATTTAAATAGTTCTTAAATAAATTATCATAAGAGGGTATATTGTTTGGCAAATTGCTTTTACCTGTTTGTTTTATGCATATCTTAGGTCACAGACTATCTCGCTAAGTTCCTGCAGGTCATGGACTATGTCTTCTGTTTCTTTTGATTCATTCCCTAAGTTGCTGATTACCTCTCAATGCTTGCATTTGTGGGTTAGCCTTAGTTCCGTTTAAATCTCCTGGGCTACCTACAGTTCCCTGTATAGCATGCTTTTGAATTTTCCAGATACTCTGTTTTCCTGATTCCCTTAAGTTTGTATAGAGAATATGGGCCAATTTTATTAATAAACTTAGCAGATCATGTTTAAGGAGAAAGATCTGCTGAAATACATTTGAGTGTTATTCAGCTACTTATTACTCTTTTGGATTATTTACATGAACGGGCCTTTTTCATAGTCCGTATGTTTGAGAGGTGACTTGATTTTTGTGTTTACAATCTCACTTGAGTACCACACAGCAACAGGGTTGTCCTTAGCCCTGAGGTGCATTTTTGGAGGAACATGAAGTAGTTTAGTCATTGATTAATAGTTCTAATTCCACCTAACTACTCCTGGGCCCATGTTGCTCTCTGGGACCTGTCCTTCAACTTAAATCTCAACTTATCACCCAGAAAGTGAGTAATAAAAATGTCAGGTAGGTAAGGTATATGTATATCTCACATATTCACTTGGCCAAGTTTACAGATATTTTAATTTTATTTTCAAGATAAATGCTTAAGATTACTAAAATATAATACCACTTAATACAAATTTTTATTAGATTTTAAAAAATATTTCACGTATTTAAAATATAAAACATTTTGAAAAATACTATTTTTTTCTATATTATTTTAAGAACTAGAATGATATTCTGTGCTGTTTGATTCTAACACATAGTTTTACTGCAGTGTTTAGCTAAGCTTTTTTTTTTTTTTTTTAAGTTAGGTACTTTTTGTGTATCAAGTACTGTTAGGGAGATACAGCACATTAAACTTATATATTTTTGCTTAACAATGTAGCCATTGTAACATCATTAGAAGCTCATTTTAATTTTATTATTATAATGAAAGTTGTTTATCCCTTAGAGTTCATTTGAAACCCTCAGTATAATTTGTTTTTGCCAAAAATATGCTGCTCAGTAGTGAGTCTTGGAAATTCCATTGATTTTAAGATTTTAGTAAGATCCATTATTAATATTTTGTAAATTGATGCCTTATATTTTATTTGTTATAGGAGAGACGATAATAAAGACATTGACTCAGAGAAAGAGGCTGCCATGGAAGCTGAAATTAAAGCTGCCCGAGAAAGGGCCATTGTCCCTCTGGAGGCTCGAATGAAGCAGTTCAAGGACATGCTGCTAGAGAGAGGGGTCAGAAAACAATCTTTGGGGGAGATATTTCTGTTTTGTATAAGTAATATAAATATGTCTTGCTAAAAGGTCAAATCTAAGGTTAGTGCTCATGTTGTGGGGGGGGATAAGGGAACCCTATCAAATTACTGTACTTTTTTGCAAACAGCCTGTTTCTTGGCTAATCATATCATGTAACTAAATGCCACTTTACTGTCCTTTTAAGTACAAATAACATTTAACATTTATTGGGTCGTTAAATTTTGGTGAGTAATGTAAGACGAGTATTAACATTACAGAATGGCGGACTGCTTGGGATAGGTAAGGTACATATGATTATTCTTCCTTTAATTTCTTCAGAATGGCTTTTGGTTAAAGGAGAATGATACTTTATGATATTATTAGAAGCTTAATTGAGAAGGGATTTCAACCTTTGGATTATATTCAGATTCATTTGAATAAGTAAAATTGTTCAATTTTAAATCACAATATTATTCACAAGATTGGAGCAAGCATGCAAATCTTCAAGGCTTTTTGTGATGTACTGTTATTAAAAATGTCACACAGTGGTGGTTATTTTAATCAGTAATTAAGTGTGTGTTATTTCTATATAACATAGAAATATTCAGAGCCAATTAGTGTAGAAATTTGCTGTTGCTAGCCTCCCACTGCTTGTCATTTATTAGTGATGGAAACTTCAGTATGGTTTTTATGTCTCCTTTATAAACAGATATCCTGTAGATTTCAAGCAAAATTATGACCTTTACGTTTTTAGAGCAAACTTAATTATGAGGCAATACATTTTTATTTTAAAGGTATCTGCTTTTTCAACATGGGAGAAGGAGTTGCACAAGATAGTTTTTGATCCGCGGTATTTACTTCTCAATCCTAAAGAGAGAAAACAGGTAAAAGGAAAATGACTTTATTAAGGAAGTGTGTATCTCCTGCCACCATAATTTTTAAATTGTAAGGAATAAAGAGCCATCCTTTTTTTTCCCCCTAACATAGTACTTCAAAAAGATAGTCTTGCATCTTAGAGCATAGTCATCTGTGTGTCTGTGTGTGGACATTTCAGAAATACTTGGATATTTTTGCCCTTACGGATGTGGCTATTGTGTGAATGTTTTGTCCTTGCGCCTTATATACTGAGGTTATCTGTAGTATGGCTTTAAATTTTCATTTCACATGCATTTATTAATTTGCCTTTTTTGGGCAAAGGATGCAAATTTAGAGTAGAAAAAATAGCAAAATACGATGAGTAAAAGGGGGGAAAACACCTGTAGTCCTGTCTATCTGATGGCTATGACCACTGTTAGACACTTTGGTTTATAACCTTCTTGACTTTTCCATGTCAGTATGTACATGTATGTGTGTGTATTGTAGATAGACCATTCTTAAAGACATACATTTCTGTCTCATACATTCCACACACAAAGTTCACATCTAAGTAGCATCTATTAAAATAGTGATGTTCATCACGTCAGAGAAATGAGGGCTACTTCAGAGTTTCTGTTGAAAAACTACAGTTGCACAGACTAGAGTTGCCTTGTGACTGAGTTGCTGTTTATTCCGATGATGATTTGGTTACATACCATTTCATGGTGATTGCTCCTTGTAAAGCATTGTACACTTCCAACTTAACATAATTTCTGAATTACCTGAACCATCCCAACAATGATCTCTGTAAAACAATGAGTATGTTGAACCCCTTGGTGTAGTGCTGTTGAGCTGTAAGATTTCATTTGGTAACAGTAGTGTCCATCTCCGTGTTTATAGTTGTAATGATTGTAATAATTCTCTGTATAGTTTGTGCCATTATGTATGTCTAATGATGGACTTTAATGAAGAGGAAAAATTTATAGTGTGCCAGACATGTATTTTGGTACTTGTAATAGATATGGCTTTCCAAATATATTTGCATCTGCATTTCAAGCCTCGTAGCCTTTTTTTAAAAGAAATCTTTTTGTGTGTCATCTCAGTCTTGTCTCAGTCAGTGGCTCTATCAAAACCTCTAAATCAGTCTTGATTCTTTACTTTTCCCACTGCCTATTTCCAGTCTGTCAGCAAATCTACCTTCAAAGAATTTTCTAAATCTAACCTCTTATTCATCAGTTCCCCCACTAACACCCTAATCCAAGCCGCCATGATCATCTTTCATCACCTGTCTAGCCCCTAATTGATGTCCTTCTTTCTTTCTCTTCTTGCACCTTTTTAGTTCTTTTTCCATACAGCAGCCAGAGTAATTTTAAAGTTTAAGTGAGATCAGATTAATTCAGTGTTCCCTTGCTAAAAATTGTCCAGTATTTCTCATGTCATTTAGGATAAAATTGAAACTTTTTCATGGTCTCTAACATTCTACATATACTCCTCCCTGTATATCTTTCGAGGTTCTTTTTTCTGTTTTCTTTTGTTCTGGAAGCCTAAGCAGAGAGCTGTATACTTGTGTAATATTTCAATGAAGCTTTCAAGTGAGACTTGCTATATAAATAATCTGCATATAATTATATATAATTAGTGTATTGTTCCTATTATAGTTTAGTCAAAGACCCTGGTTTAGTGGGTTTTTTTTTTTTTTTAATACATTTGATATTTTGTTAGTTAAATTACCTATGTGAAAGACTGACTTGTCACATTGGTATATTTTTGTAATAGGTGTTTGATCAGTATGTAAAGACCAGGGCAGAGGAAGAACGCAGGGAAAAGAAAAACAAAATAATGCAAGCCAAGGAAGATTTCAAAAAAATGATGGAAGAAGCAAAGTTTAATCCAAGGTATGTTTATTCATTTCTGTCGGATATCAAAGTATATGTATTTT